AATAATTTAGTGGGAAAACCTGAGGTTTTTAGGTGGATATCTAGCTGTACACCTCATGTTCTCTGTTGAATCCCACTTGATTCTTGCAGTCTGTTCTCTTTGTATTACCACCAGTTCCAAGAGGGTGTAGAGATGCAATATAGGACCTAACCTGACCCTAAACATTCATGTTGGCCCTAACAAGTAAGTTCCCATAACCAGGAGTCCAAGAGAGCAGAGCAGACACGTTCCAGAAGCTGAATTCTTTTTTTTAAATTATTTTTTAAAACTTGACAGCAAGCTCCAAGAAAAGTCAGCACAGTATCTCCACCATGCTAAGCAGCCAACCAGTATCAAAAATAATGCACGGAGGATCTCAGTCTTCTTGAAATCAGTACAAGTCTGAGAAGGTTTTTTTTTCAGTTTGGACTTTGTAACTTCCAAATCCAAGTGCCCTAGGAATAGCACAGTTAATTCTCAGAACACTGAATTAACAGTACAAATAAAATTTCTTGGCCCAAAATCAGATACATACAGAGGCTGCTGAACATGTGTACATCTGTGACATGGTTAATCTACATCATCAATAAGATACCTATAACTAAAATGAACTCCCTCTGAAAGATAACTTTCAACACTTACATCTCATTGTAAGGGGATTTTAGAAATAGAGTAACTGGTTTATGACTTTTTATCAGAATATTTTAACAAGTAGGGAAGGCACAGAATCAAAAAAAACAGGACATTAATCCTGGAAAAGAACCATGAACACCTTTGCCAAAGCCCAGACCGACGTCCGGGTTGGTCAGGTGAATAGGTGGATTTGAGCCTCTACCTTGAAGAAGTGAGTTTCAGTAAGAGTACATCCTACATGCAGAATAAAAACATGAAAGAGAAAAAATAAATAAATAAAACACAGTTAATAAGACCAGAACATAAACAATAAGCAAACAAAACCAAAACAAAACAAACACACACAAAAGAAAAAAAAAAAAAAAAAAGAAAACAGAAAAATCCACACATTTGGCCAGATGGAGTAAATACAACAGAAACTTCACAGGAAAGATACAAAAGACACAGGGAACACATATTAACACACTAGGCAAACAAAAAACAACAAAAAACCAACCAAAGTATTTAAACATGCATTAAACATTCTTTTAATCACTGACTACATTGATTTCAGAAGACTCAAAAGTGCTAGAAGCAATAGAGAACACAATATGAAAGCTATATGCAACAAAGAGTCACTCTTCAAGTGAAAGAATGGCCCTGACAAACCTGACCAGAATGTACACCCACCTGTCCTGAAATGGAGACCTAGAGCAATTGAAACATAAACGCACCAGTGGAAAGAATATGAAGAGCCTTGACAGTCCTTCAGAGAAAATAAGACTAATTATATTTTCTGTGATGATTTAGGAATTAGAGGTGCATACTATCCTCCTTTCTTTTCAAGTCCTGCTCTCAATATGAGTCAGCAGAGTTGTCACCAAACATGTTTCCCACAATCCTCCATTATGAAGAACATCATTCTAAGTACATCATTCAGCAGTGATGCCATGCAATACTTTTCATTCATGCAGCTGCTCATCTGAACCATGAAATATATTCTCATTTTAATAAACAGGAATCTAGACTTGTTCTCAATATTACAAATGAATACACTCAGTAACAAAAGGCTGTCCAAGACAGCAACATTTGAATGTTTCATTTACATTTCAACACTCCTATTTAATGCTTGTTGAACCCCGATTTTTTATTTTTAAAATGCATTGTTATGAACTCCCAGCTCAAAGGATTATTTGTAACATGTGTCATACTTTATGTACAAACTAGAGAGACGTACAAATTACATGCAGACGCCAGTTAGCAGAACTTAAATTAGCACATTTGTTTGCAGACACAAAGAATAATCTGAATTTACTGTTCAAATTACATTCATTTTGTAAATTGTTGGTTTACAAACAGATATTTGGTATTTTCAGTAACCTGAAACAACCAGGCTATGAATTAGAACCATCAACAAAAAGGTACGTCATTAAAAAATGCAAGTCTTGACTGTTTTGCATGGTTTTGCTCAGGTACATGTATCCTATGTATAGGACTATGTATATATGTATATATGGCTATCCTATGTACAGAAAGAAATCATTTCCATTTTATTTTTTTTAGTACAGTTACTCTTCCTATGGATATGTTTATCTGTTCTAGTATGTTTGGTTGTTTGTTTTTTGGGGTTTTTTTTAGCAAGTCCTTTTCAAGCATGGCTGAAATGCAAACCAAAAAATGAGAAATTAAGAGCTACATCAATGTGTTATTCACAGCAAATGGAGATGAATAGTAGACCACGTTCAACTAAAGAATGACTCTTTTCCAATCTAGATGCTAAGGAAGAGCTCTTTCAACAATTTTTTAACACTTTACAGAGATCTTTTCAAAGAGGTTTACCTTCAATGTCATCTTTCAATCCAAGGAAATTTCTGAAGTACTGGTGACCCATGTACTATCTTGTTCTACCACCTAGGAACTGCACAGTTAGAGAAAAACTGATTCAGCACCTGATGGTGGGGCTGAGAGAAGAGTTCAAGGTGCTTCACAAGGTTCTGATCAGTTTGTGTGGTTTATAACCACAGCTTCACCTTTCGTTTATGAAATGCCTGCACAAGTAGTTGAGAAAATTGGACAGAGACCTAATTTTGAAACCTTCTTAGTACCCCCTACAGAGAACATGACTCTGCCGACATAGCACAAAGGAGCACTCCACAGGCACACCTACATTGCTAGGGGAGGAGCAACAGTATCACTGCACCAGCATATGATCCCCTCCACCTGAGCTTACATTGCCTTTTAAGAAAGCGGGCTGTCCTGGGACAGCACAGCGCTATTACAAAGACACTGCTTCACAGCTGCTTGCTCAATCTGCATTTCATTTAAAGCCAATACTTCTGTACCCAGACAGATGCTCGATGTCTGCAATGGGACTTAACAGAGATGAAGGACTGTGTTAGTGGGACTCAACTGCAAGGTAATTGGCAAGTGCCCAAATATTCCTTACGAAGTATTACAGAATGTTCAAAGTAAACAAACAAAATTCTACCTGCTGTTGTTGATTTTCCAACTCCCCCTTTTCCAGAAGCCAAGACCACCACCTGCTTAACTCCTTCTATAGGCTTCTGTTTCGGCAGCCCACGTGACAGGATCCGGGTACGTTTGTCCCTTAGAGCCTCATCCCTGGAGCTTGAGGACTGACAAAAACACAAAGCAAATGAATGCGAATGCACCACCGTGCAGTATTCTCTGAGAAAGCTGATAAGGAAGAACCCACCTGCACACTGAGAAATTTTCCCTGTGGGTCCAAAACCAACAGTTTGCACTTGGTTTTTCCTAAACGGAGCCTGTTTCACAGGCAGGCAGGCTGTCCGACATAGGGCCTGCTTGTAAATTACCCCAGTGGGCATTTTCTTTAGACAAACAGTTAAATATGATCTTAACACTTTAAAAATAAATAAATAATGAGGGCTTGTGTTAAAACAAACCAAAACACCACTTTAAAAGTTGGCCTCTTTCAGAAACAGGCTTGACCTAGCGGTCCTTTTACATTACAGTTGCTTCAAGCACAACACACAGATATAGCAGTGAAGGAAGAGAAGCCCTGGGTGCTGAGGCGCCGGTGGAGCCCGGACAGCTCCCCAGAGGTCTGTCCCTCCCGAGCCGTGGCAGAGGCATCTGTGCGGGTGCCGGTTCGCTGCAGCAAGCCCCCCATCGCCGTTATTTCGGAAGAGGTACACGACGGCTCTTCTGCACCCTGCGGGCGCTCCGCAGGACAGGAGCCTGCACCAATACAGGCAGCGTCCCACCCGCTACCGAGT